CCTTAACTCCTGCCCAGCCCTAACCATAACCATAAGTAACCAAACAAAATACAAGTTTTTGCATTTTTGTTTTTTTGATTGCAGTCACAGATTTTTAGAAAACAGAGTTTAACTGGTCCCCATAAGGTCAAAACAATGGGTATTCATCACGTCGTGGAGACATTTGATCCCCACAAGGTCAGTGTCATGCCCCGATCGTGCCGATCCTCCTGTGTGCCACGCCCCCTCGTTTACCTTCTGTGGAATCCCCGTATTAACAGCAGTTGTGGCACACAGAAGAATTGGCACATTCAGGGTATGACAGTAAGGTATATCGGGATCACACACACACACACACACACACACACACACACAGAGTAAATACCACCAAAGAGGCCTTTGTCCACATTTCATTGGTTGAAAGTTATGGCACCAGAATCTATGATGTCAATGCGGAGCACGAAAGGCAAACCCATAGTGTTCTGTTAATAGTCCTAGCGAAGACCAATGGTGAAGTCTAAGAGGAGTGTTTGGAAGAGCTGTTGATTAACTTATTGTACTGTGTAATTTACTGTGTAACCTAGATAATCTAAACATGGTCTAAAACAGGGGTCACCAACCTTTTTGAAACTTAGAGCTACTTCACGGGTACTGAGCCATACGAAGGGCTACCAGTTTGAAATGCCCTCCTAAACTCACCTAAACATCATGTATAAGAAACATGTTTTAAATGCTTTTTTTAGACATTGTAATTTTCAAATCTATATAAATGCAAATGTGTTAAAGAAGAATAGCAACAGGATAAAATTTAATTTTAGATGCTCCTCACTGGTGAGTTGCACTATTTTTAGAACAGGTCCGCGGGTGACTCATGTGGTCCTTGGGGGCATCCTGGTGCCCGCGGGCACCATGTTGGTGACCCCTGGAATAAAAAGTTCTTTTGGTGTTATTTATTTGCATCTTTATTGTGTGTTTGGGGAATAGGGTACGCCACCCTTTGGTATCATCCACTAGCAGTGGCAAACTATAAATGGCGGCCATTTTACTACACTGAAGATACTGTTCCTGCCAATGGTAGGTCACGTGTCCTTGTTTAGAGGGTGTTTGACGGAGAGATAAACACCTTTGGTTGTGTTGCTGTGAACCCATTCCACTAACCGGCCAGCAGTGATGTCGAAAAAAAGCTTTCTGAAGGAATAAAGCATCCTTTCCAAACATGTCAGAAAAGGGTTCATTACTCGACACCTTCACTATGTGGTGTACAGTAGCGACACCTGGTGGTCAAAGGGGAGCAGACCTTAACTTGGTGGGCACTACCTTTGACTGTACCTAATCAGTCAGCTTAGGTCTTATCTTTGAAATCACTTGTCTTATAAATAAAGGCCATTAGAAACACTAAATGTGTTGCCTGAGTTTATAACTATAAATGAATAAATTGTACATCCAATTAGGCTCTTATAGTAATTTATGCATTTTTTGCTATTCATTTTTCACTCCTATCCCAAACAGACTGTCACACACGTACTACGACAGCTTATTAGGGCCATTGTAAGTCCAACAAAAATTACTGTGCTTGGGGAGGAGGGTATTATTCCAAAAAAACTCAAAATTTCCAAGAGTAAAGTAATACATTTCTGAGGAAAAAAAAACTCTTGATATTCTTTTGATCTCAAATGTTTTTTAGGGAAGAAAGCTGAGCATGCAAACAGAATTACGGCAGCTGTTTGAAGCTGCTTTTGTGTGGCTTTGGCTGCCTGGCTGCTGTTACTTTCATTACGCTTCTTAGCGAGGGGGTTTTTTCGACAGTGACGAGCGACGATCAATAGCGTTTGTAGTTCAGTGCCCTTGCTCTGAGTTCTTATAGGCCTACTTCAAATCAAGGGACTATTGCCTTTGGTAACCAACATTGCAGTATGCTGTATATAAAACAAATTAAAAAAATAAAACCATATAAATACATTTTGACTGTGAGTGCAGTTTGATTATTAGACCTAAAGCTTATGGCAGAATTTTATCATTATATTTTTTATTATTAAATAAAAGAAAGTAAAGTAATTTCAAGTTTTTTTTCTTGCAAAGTTATGACTTTAATCTTGAAAGTTTGAGTTTTTTTCTCAGAGCGTTCCCCCTCCCCCGGCTAAGCAATTTTTTATACCTACAACGGCCCTCACTTCCATTTCATTATGTAATTTTGTTTCAGTGTTTTAAGTGATCACTGAAATGAAAAAGATGAAAGGAATGTGAAGATGCTTGTGGACTGGGCCAACATACATTTTGAGTGAAGGTTCATGTTCAGAAACAGTATTTATTCTCCATAAGTTGATTCCTCTTTTTATTTCCAGCTTTTCCTACTTTTGAGAATACATGCGGATACACAGGGGACAGATGAGGCAGGGGTGCAAAAATTGCAGTGCAAGCTGAAGGAGGTGTGGATGGACAGATTGCTGCATGGACCAGAATCTCAGTGGGTCCTCAGAACACAGTATTTTGGGGTCTCAGCATAGATGATGTGCTGTTATTATACAGCAGTTTCTGAGAACAGACTGAACACCTGACCTATGGACAAAATATTGTTGCATCTGTATGATGTATTTTTTTCTGTAAGTAGAATAAATGCATTTCTAATGTCATATATAATTAATGTGGTAGAAAAATCAATGACAATGCAAATACAATTGTAATTTCAATCAGTAATTACCAAAGACATTCATAATGACACTGTTGATTTAATTACAATGATTGTAATGATTAATTGCTGCTTTGGAATAGTTATTATACTTAACATGTAATGCAATAATGCAAGCTTGCTGAAGTAATGGGTTTTTCACTTTTAAAATTAGAAGCATTTTATGAGGAACTAACATGTGATTTTGCTTAATCTGCAAAAAGGACCGGATAAAGGTGCAGACATGATCCAAGAAGTTAGAACTGTTACAGATACCAATATTAGACATTTCTGTGCTGATGCCATATGATTATAGGGGAAGTAAGATGAAGAAACTGAAAACAGCTTGTCGAGATGAGGTAGGGAAACCATGAGAACAATCGGCTTCTACAGGTCAGGCCTGCCTTGGACCTCCATAAGCAGAAGTAGCTGGTGTCTACAGATATCTGACCCCTCCCTGAACTGTCTGTAAACTGTTGCATTTTTGGCTATAATAGATGTATGCACTTGTTGTTCGGAGAGCAGATCATGAGACGCATGAAATACTGATGAGTCTCTGCTCTCCCAAAGCTTTGCGGTAATAAAGTTTTGTCAGACTCTTAAACAAACCGACTTCTTCGAAAGTTCTACCACATTATATTGTTATTATTTTCTCATCAGTTTTTACCTTATTTGTCAATATTAGAATTAAAAGTCCCTAAACTCCAGAACATACTTGTTTTGTTTCCTCGTTTGTTCCATCACCGATTTCTTTTCATTGTCGATTTGCACCGCAGACACCCCACCGACATGAGCACACCCAGTCCAGGATTCATGCTTCCTTGTGAGTACAAAGCCAAAGCAGTCACATGATTCTGCCCCAAATGAAGCTTTGGACGTCATTGATCACGTGTTTATGTCAAGAATGAACCGAGTTTTGATATAGCGATTGTGTCCTGAACCCTTTATTTTATTCCCTGTACACACATGACTGTGTCACCGTGCACAGCACCAACACCGTCGTGAAATCTGTGGATGACATAGTGATGGTAGGTCTGATCTCCAGTGGAGATGAGATGGCAAATATATGTAAGTGAGGTGGAGAAGCTGTTTCTGTGGTGCTAAGTTAACAACCTGGACATGGATGCCTCTAAGACCAAGAAGATGGTCATGGACTTCAGGAAGGAGCAGCAGAGGAAGTGCACTCTCAAGATTTTTGGGACTCAAGTGGAGAGAGTTAGCAGCTACAGGTACCATGGAGTAGACATCTCTGAGGGCCTGACATGGACAACCCACACATCCATCCTGATGCAGAGAGCTAGGCAGCGACTGCCAGTTTGTTGTATTAGTTAGGTGTCCCTGCAACCCACATTCACGCTCGTAGAGGGCAGCCATCCTGTCGGCGGCTTGGTTGCAGGATGGAGGTGAGCGACTGCCTCAGCTGACCTCCTCTGTGCGACCCCAGGAATGAAAACTGGTCTAAAGACCAAGTTGGAAAAGCTCACACTGGTGGTAACTGACCATGGTAAATTAAAAAATGTATTATCTGTGTAACTGGCCACTTTAATAGACTTGCTTAAGGTGCTTTTAAAATTCTACAGCTGTACAAAAACTTATGTCGGTGCTGAAACATATCTCACTCCTGCAGCATTATCCAGTGTCCAGTTCAAACAGCCTACGTGCATAAACAAGCATTGCAAAGTCCGGGATTATCCCAAAGCCAGTACCGTCCGCTGTTTGCTCATCTGGCTCTGGTTTGTAAGTATCTTGCTTGTTGTTCTAGGATTCGCTCCAGGTATTAGTGCATGAAACCAGGGAGTACAATGTCTCCCAGCTGGGAAACTGCACTTCTGGCTTAACAAAGCATATTCAGCAGCCAGAGGGCTTATGACCCGACTGCTCTCCTACAGGTTGGTGTTCAGTCATCTGCTGTAAGTCCTCAGCCCAGCTCCTCTCACCGTTTTCGTGCCAGCTACAGTAACTGCATTAGGCATGACTGAGCTGCTTTTTCTCCTTATATAAAACATATTATGCCCTGGATAAGTAACTGGATGATTTTATCCTTCTAAGATTAATAACTGTTGTACTACTGCTCAATATACATTTAAGGTAATATTACACACTGACTCCAGCATATCTGGAACTTTTCTGTAATCTCTAACCCGTAACTCCCTCTAGATGCCAAGTCTTGGACATTGTGTTTTAACAGCAGAGTCATCGATCATGCAACTGCTTATCCTGGTCGAGGTTGGAGCAGGGGAGGGGTGGTGGTTGGGGTATAAGGTAGACCCTATTCCAGGGAGTACAGGGCAGTGCTTCTCAAACTAGTCCTTGGACTCCAAGACGGCCCATATTTTTGCTGTCTCCCAGTTCCCTGGGAGTCAGGAGACAGCAGATGTGTGGGCCGTCTGCGGGTCCCCAAGGACTGGTTTGGGAATCACTGGCATAGAGCGTAAGGCAGTGGTTACACTGGATAGGACAGATGCCCGTCCATTAAGAGGAAACATATATACAGGCACACTATCAGTCACAGGTAACTTAGACACACATGTTAACTTTACTGCATGCCACACAACAAAGGGAAAATGTGCAAACTTCACACAGAATTACAATTTTACCAGACTCTTTTACCCAAAACAATGTACAGTTGAAACTGCGGTGAGAGAGTCCCTACAGCAATTAAGGGGTTAAGGGCCTTGCTCAAATGGCCCAACGGTGATGTCACTCTGCTAGCTGCCATTTGGACTGGTGACTCACACAAGCATAATGCCTTAACCCACTGAGTCACACACCACCCCAATAAACAGAGGCAGAGAGTGGGTGGGATTCAACCCAACAACCCAGGCAACACTGATACCCATTGTGCTGCTGAGCCGTCCTCAATACAGTCAAATGTTAAGACAAACCCCAGACCTGCATAGGTCATTTTGTCAGTAAAATGTTAAGTCATTTATTGGTACAGTTAACAGTACAAAGTGAATAATGATTTTTGCATTTGTTCTTGATTCATTTCATATGTCCTGGAACATGGATCTGTTTATTGTAAATGTGCAGGCATTTCTTTTCCTTCCCTTTTTTTCCACAGTAAATAAAAGAGGATATCCACAGTGTCCTGACCTGGACGTGGGTGAAAAAACAATTAAAAAATACTTTCTGTGTAGGGTATAAAGAAAAATTTGTATAGTGTAAGTATAGTACAGAATAGTATAATTTACAAATCTTACCAGTTTAGCTTAGTGACTCTCATCCCGAAATCTTTCATGTTCATTTTTAAATGACCCGCTTGCTCAGTATCTCTTCCCAGCAGCCCCTGCGCCTTCTGAAGCTGTCCAATAGTTTTATACCGCCGGGGCAGCTGGGAGATGCAGTTCATCTTAAGTATATTTGCTACAAGAGGACAGCGCAGGAAAATTCATTTCCGCTTAGTGAGGGGAAAGAAGTGTATATGCATATCGATTCGGATAATGTGTTTTGTAATATTTCCACAGTTATAGCCAATATCAAGACAAAATGGGCTCCAGACGGAAACAAGGCCGAGATCAGGTCGAGCGGTCCCGAGAACTCTGCAAGACACTATGCTTGTTTGTACTGTTTGAAAAACTCTAATGAATTAAGATATGTGACCTAAACCACATGTTAGACAGATTTAACGTATCTAAAAGTGCCAATGAATAACGTTTACTATTCTCAGACCTATGATGTACCGGGCATGAAAACAGCAGACCACCCGAACTATCACCGTGATGTCTTCCCAAGGTGCTCCCACGTTTTTGCTCATACGAGTTTGTCGCCTAGTGATGACGCAGGCGCGCACTTAATCGATGGTTACGCCCGGTCATTAAAAACACTGCCATTAAATTAAGAGCAACTGTTGTTTACTGTAATAAAAATTTGAAATATATTTTAATAATCCATCATTCAACAGAGCCGTGTTAACTTGGACCGATTTTGCCAGTTTTTTTTTGCTGAAATACCCAAAGCTGCGTAGTTGGCGGGGGGGCCCAAGTGTTTCTTTTTTGTATATCTGCTGGCCACAGCCGCGCATTGGCTTCGGTCCCCCCTTCGCCGCCCTCCGGAGCTCGCCTAACGAAAGCGCTGCAGCCTGATTAACCTAGGCTGGGAAGACGGAGGGGAGGCGACTGGCACCGTGGGCCGAGAGCGGAAGACGGGGCACCAGCGGGAGGCAGTGGATGCGGACGGCCCCGGCGCACACAAGCTCCTCTTCTGGTAAGTTGGCTCAGCGGACTCTGCCGTTTTTATTGTCTCAAGAACAATAAATCTCTGTTTCCACTCGTCAAAATCCCCTGTTAGCACGCAGAAAAACGAAAGAGTGCCTCACTTTCATTTTCTTTTGCTTCCCCCTCCTTCCCAGAACGGACACCAAATATCCCACAGGCAGCGTTAGTACGCAGCTCAATATGTTTACAAGACTTTTCAAATATATACATTCACATCTCTTAAATATCTGATCATAACGGCAATGTACGCGCCGTTTTCTGCTCCCGTTTTCACCTCCGCATCGGCTCAGTGTTTGTTTCAGGTGTCTGCTGAGAAAATGTCTCGGCAGTCATTCCTCTAATAAGTTTTCGCAGAGATACTTATTGCAAGACATCCATGTTTAGTCGTTTTCAGTCTATAATTACAACTTGATCGACCATCGTTCGCATTTTCTTTGGACACATTCTCGTTTTTAGTTAAGGTTTTCTTCAGCATACGAGATGCGGAACACTTACCTGAGCAGACACGTGTATTTATTATGATGTAGTGTGTAGCCCAGTTACCGAGGATGTGTATTCATTCCCGGTCTGTAATCTGTGTTCATTGTTAAAGCGTTGCGGTAGATCGCAGTATCATAGGTATTGTTTACGTCAATTGGTAAATAAGCGTGAATGGTTCTTGAGGGGAGGGTGACCTCTGTTTTGCAGGATGCAGCTTCAGTGTTGGGATTTCCCTGGACGTGTGAAAATGATCTGTCTCTGAGGAAGACCAAGCAAGGATTCTGAGGAACATTTCACTTTAAAAAAAAAAAAAAATTTTTTTGAAGGCCTCCTTTGGATGCTCTTGATAAGATGGCAAGTCGAAGGAAGTCCACAACACCTTGCATGGTCGTTCCCTTGGATACAGCAGAGCAGGACCCAGACGTGGAGACCACGGACAAGAGGGAAGGTCCTGACAGTGTAACGGAGGTGGCTGTGGAGGGCAGTGCAGCCCCTGTTAAATCTGATCCAGGTGAGAATAACATATCATCTGCTGTTTTCGCTCACAATCTTTGGACATAAGATTGTATACACATTATGTTTACATGTTTAGCTGATCAATGGGCCCATTAATGTAAAAGCAGCCTAAGTTAATTGATTAAATACCTGGCTTAAGCTGGGACTCGCCCCAGTAATGTTAATGGTATAGGTCACGTCGTCCCGCTGTGGTTGCATGTTCATGTGGAGTGAAAATGTCTAACTGAAATACATGCTCTGTCTGCAGAGCACAGCGTGCGGCACCTTGGGGAAGATGGCTTCGCCCGGAGCACCGCGAAGCGCAGCACCCACACTGCCTCTGAGCCGGGGCTTGCCGACTTGGCGTCTGTGCACCCAGAGAGCGAGGAGGCCGAGGACGCGGCCATCACTGGCATCTCGTTGAGCAAGACCCCAATCATGAAGATGAAGAGCAAAGGTGAACCCAAGAGGATTGCCGTCCCTCACAAGGGTGCCGACGAGAATGGAGCGAGGGGGGAGAGCGAAGGGGAGCAGGAGCCTAAGGAGGGAGTCGTCTCCAACCCCATAGAAGCACTTACCCCACTGCCAGTTGAGGCCGTCAAGCCCAGTGTTGTCATCACCAATCCTAATACCATTCTGCCTGAACCAAAGAAAACCATCATCAGCTCTGCCACGGTTCTGCCCGCTGGCCTGGCCCAAGTTCTGTCTGCCCTGCAGGCCCAGCAGAATGCCCAGACCCAGCTCTTGATACCAGTCAGCAGTATTCCAGCGTACAACAGCACCATGGACACCAATCCCTTACTGGTCAACACTTACAACAAGTTCCCATATCCAACGGTTTCAGAAATCATGACTTTGGCTGCCCAAACAAAGTATGCAGAGGAGCAGATCAAGATCTGGTTCTCTGCCCAGCGTCTGAAGCACGGAGTGAGCTGGACCCCAGAGGAGGTGGAAGAAGCCCGGAGGAAGCAGTTCAATGGCACTGTGCACACGGTACCCCAGACCATAACGGTTATTCCAGCCCATCTGTCCTCCACACACAATGGCCTGCAGTCCATCCTGCAGACTTGCCAGATAGTTGGGCAGCCTGGTCTTGTCTTGACACAGGTAGGCAGTGCTGGCAACTTGCCTGTGACTACACCGATCACGTTGACTGTGGCTGGTGTTCCCAGCCAGACGCAGTTGCCCAAGCCGGCTACCATCCAGGCGACCCCAGCTACCGTGGAAACAAAGAGGGCCACCACTGTCCAGCCACCTTCCCTGACCCCTCAGGAGAACTCGGCACTTACTGCTGATCATTTTGGAATGCGGCCCAAGAAATCCAAAGAGCAGCTTGCAGAGCTGAAGGCCAGCTACCTAAAAAACCACTTTGCCAGTGATGCGGAGATATCCCGGCTGATGAAGCTGACGAATCTCACCAAGGGTGAGATAAAGAAGTGGTTCAGTGATACGCGCTACAATCAGCGCAACTCTAAGAACAACCACGTCATCGTCTTCAATGAGAACACCAACAGTGCCAACAACAATGCCACCATTGTGATCGACTCTAGTGATGAAACCACAGAGTCCCCTACATCAGGACCGGTCAAGGAGAAAGAGACGCGTAACAAGTCATGGAACCCTTTTCCTGACTTTACCCTGCAGAAGTTTAAAGAGAAGACTCCGGAGCAGCTGTTGGTGTTGGAGGAGAGCTACCAGAAATGCAGCACGCCCAATGATGAGGAGCTGAGCAGACTGAGGAGCGAAACCAAGCTGACCAGGCGGGAGATCAATGCCTGGTTCACAGAGAAGAGGAAAGCTCCAGCAGACTCAACAGACCAGAAGAAGGAGCAGGCTGATGCCGAAGCTGTTACCAGCCTCCCTTCACCGAAGTCAGGAAGCCAGACGCCGCCCAGTAGTCGACGGTGGGGCAAGGATAAAATTGGGAAGAAGACACCTGAGCAGCTTCACATCCTGAAAAATGCCTTCGTTCGTACACAGTGGCCCACAGCTGAGGAATATGACAAGCTGGCAGAGGAGAGTGGGCTGCCCCGGACCTACATTGTGAACTGGTTCGGGGACAGCCGGTATGCTTGGAAGAACGGTAACCTCAAGTGGTACTATTACTACCAAAGTGGGAATGTTGAGCCCATGAATGGAAGCGGACACAGGAAGCGGGGAAGGGGCCGGAATCGGAACCGTGGTTGGAGTAGGTCCCGGAGCAGGAGGGCCAAAAGGGCCTCAGGATTGGGGAAGTCATCACCTCCCATCAAATTCAAGACTGGAAAGGAGATTCTGAAGGAGTATTACCTAAAGCATAAGTTCCTGAATGAACAGGATTTGGACGAGCTGGTGGCAAAGACAAATATGGGTTACGAGCAGGTGAGGGACTGGTTTGCCGAGATCAAACGGAGGGAGGACCTAGGAATGGACCCTTTCGACGGGGGGGCAGAGAATGGGGAGCTGGCGGAAGGGGAGGAGTCACAAGAGGAAAGTGAGATGGCAGCTGAGGAGCAGGGTGAAGTTATTCGTGGTGAAGATGATAACGACGACAATGACGACGACGATGACAGCGATGACAGCGATGCGTGGGAACCCCCACAGAGTGTCAGGCGAACTCTGTCTGGCTCAGAGGATTAGTGACAGACAGCTACCCATCTTCAGTAAGTACTAACCTTTGGGAAAATTTTATCTCCTCCAGAATTCATGACCACAGTGATTAAAAGCACATAATGATATGTTTGTGTAAGGTTCTCCAAAAAGCTGGGAAATGCGTGCATATGCTTATTTATGCTGAATTGTGAATGCGATCCCTGTATCCCTGTCTTCCTAGCGCTGCCTGTTTACTCGCCATGAAGTAGGAAGGTGGAAGTCTGTGTCCTCAACATGGAGCAAGGAGTGAACTGCTTTCTCTTTGCGTGGTAGAACCAGTGGCCTGCCACCAAAGAAGTGGTGCCAGTTGTCTCTCCCAGTTCCAGCGAGGAGCCCAGTTTGCCAAAGTAACGCTGCTGTAGATGTTTGATTCCTGCGCTCTTCAAGCTCCCTAGTCAGTTTCCTTCCGAACATCTCTGTTAACTGGCAAATACTTTGCTTTGCACGTAAGACATTGAGGTACTGTGATGACTAAGATGTTTGTGATCTGGGTAATAATGTCACTAGACATTGAAGAGTCGCCTTCTCTTGCCTGTTTTTTTAAAAAAGGTATTAACCTTGCATTTTTTAAGAAAGCATATCACTCTTCATATAAAGTTAATTTCTCAACAAATAGTTTCCAGTCACGTCCTTGTGCTGATAAGTAAACCATACAACATTCTGGTCTGCATATGGTGGTACAATTCGCTAGTGCAATCTAAACTCTGATTTTAATTTGGAGATTAAATTAGCTAAAAAATTGCTTGAATGCAACATAGGTTATTTTCCTCAAATGATTTCTAAGAAATCCTTTACTGGGACAGTAAGCAAGTGGTTTTATTAGTATTGCAGATGCTATGTGGTTAAAAGTAAAATAACTTCAAGCTTGATTTTTAAGGAAACGGTGCCTTTATCAATAAGATTTTTGATCGCTTACTGCCATATTTTACAATAGGCCTTTTTCTACACTCTTATTTTAGAGTTGTCTTGCTTACTATATTTTTCCTCTGTTTTGAATATCCCAGTCATATATACAGGAAATTATCAAGTGACAGAAAGGCAGCATGTTCACTTACATTAAGGTCGTGCTACTTTTTTGAAGTTCTGAAGACAGTTTGACTTCCTGTATTTCAAAAGAAGCGTTTTAAGTAAATTTACCTGCAGTCTTTATAACATTTTGAAGAATTCTAGAACAGTATTTATTATTTTATAAAAAGAGTATAGTCAAAGAGCAATAAGATCTAAGGTTAGCCCTGAACTTTTAGTTTTTCAGTGATCTAAATCAGTAAATGTGTTTGGAGAGATCTAGAAAGAGCTGTTTGGATTAACCTTTTTGTGAGGGAATAGGTGTGATATTTTGAAACGGTCGTGCACAGTAGGTTCCGAACTGTGTCTGTTACAGCGGGACCTGCTTTTGTGACTGCTGGATTCTTGTCTTGGATTAATGGAAGCAGAGTTACTGGAGGGTACGATAAAAACTTTACCGTAGACAAAGTGTTATCATAGTTGGTTCCTGTTTGCAGAAACTATGAAAGAGGAAATAAATTCTTGCTCTGTACATACATTTTATGCTCTTGTATTTGGGGGGGGGGACTTTTTAATTGTTTTATACTTTTTTAATTTATGATAATTATCAATATAGCCTTGAACTAATGTATGTTACTCAAGTGGTGTTCATTGAGATGATCACTATGTAGGTAACTTGACATCTCTTTGCTTTTTGTATGGGAAAAAAACATCGCTATTGCTTAATGATTTAAACCAGTATTTCTTTTTTTTTTTTTCTTGGCAGTTTGTCACAGATAACTGTGCCTCAGTTGATTTAAGCTTGCAGTGTGAGTGTTAAGCTTGCAGTGTGCACTGGAGTCCCATTGAAGTAACTGATGCTTTGCCTCTGTTGTATTTCCATTAGACAAAAGTGTAATAATTACTTCTCTTACTTTTTCCTGTAAAGTCGTAGACTTCTCAGACCGCATCTCTTAACCAAAAAAAAAATGCTTTAATAGTTCGTTTGTCATCTGTGTTCTCTAAAGTTTTTTTTTCTTCTCAAACATAGCACTTAAAGAATATAGATTTTAAATATTAGACCACTTATGAATGTTATTTGAGACTATATTGACTGTTATAGGTTATATAGATTTTTTTAAAAACAGATTGACATTGGCGGAGTTACAAGGAACCTTAACATTGATGATGGGATGTTTATCTTTATATATCACTTTGATACTGAAAATCCATTTGGAAAAAATGGCTATTAAACCTACCTGTGCAGCAAGCAGGCAGCCGGGTTGTGGCAGGAAACACACGGATTTACTAAGCTCCTGTGCCACAGAAATACACGGAGATCTTTTGAGTACTTTTTTTGTCAGGCAGCAGATTTTTAATCCCCCAGATAATGCTTCATGTCATTCAGTAAATTAAATGGACCATGTTTCTGGCACTATTGTTTTCACGTGGGTCAGAGAGGATATGTTTTATACTCGTGTTTGGAAAAAGTAACCAATAAAGGTCTTAAGAAATCATGGGAATTTATTTACTTTTGCAAATTCTTTCTGAATATTTTGTGTTTTTCCCCCTGACAAGAATTATGGAAGTGTTATGTTCTCTAATCTGTGAAAAGAGGACATTATTTTGATAATTGTAGGCTGAATTTATCACTCGGCCAAATATATTCTGCATTGCTGTATAAAATGTGAATATTTAATGTCACTGTTTCAGCTAAGTAAAACTTAACTAACTGCAATTAACAGTTGTAGCATATATATTTTCTTTATGTGAGTTGAGTATTTCTAATTAGATGTACAAATAAATTAACATCTATTCCTTTATTTAGATTTTTTTCTGTGTTTCCTGTGCACCGTAATTTCCAGACACGGTGGATCGGAACTGCAGTTCCGCGTCTTGTTTCCCCGCGGTCCTTTTACCGCGTTACACAGACAGGGGCACGGGTTGGGGCTGAACTATTCCACTTACTGCGTTCTTTTTAAATGGAGATATTTGGCAGTACATTTGACGACTCTGTGTTTGAAGAATGCAGAAATAGGGTCCCCATTGCTCTTTCTTCCTACAACGCAAAAAGTTGTGAACCTAAGGTAGGTTTCTTCATACTTCAAACAACACGACGAGGTACGCGTTACTGCCACTGGTACAAGCTAATCAGTCTGTATTGGTACGTAACGTGTTTTACATTACATGTGATAATGTAACTTCATACCCACGTGTTTGAAACGTAGCATGAGATTTAATTAAAAATCAGATAAGTGGCCAGCGTATTGGAAAATTGGTAGCTGTTACATGTTCTGTAATTTTGAGAAGATGAAAAATCGTTCCCCTTTACAGTGATTGCATTCTATTCAAAACCTTTTCTGATGCAGTGGTTCTGTGAAAATGTACCGACAGATGATGAATTGGAGGAGCAGAAAGTTTTCAAATTCCGTGCAGATCTGGCGTATAGTCAAAATGATTATAAGGTAATAAGACTTTTCATACTAAACCATTCATTTACCTTCGTCTAAGAAATTATGCCATCGGCCATCTGTAACTGAGACACGAATCATAGAACTGGGTGACTGGAAATGGCTCTAATTATTCACTGTACGTTCATTCAGAAAGCTCTCGCGGACTACTCCACGTGCCTGTCCCTTATACCTAAGGGAAACGTCGCCATCAGACGGGATGTGCTGGAAGGCCAGGCCAGGTGCCACTGCCATCTTGGCAGACGCGAGGAGCCCCTGGAGATTGCTGACCTGCTGGTGAGCCCCTCCAGCCTTTATATCGTGTTTTCCCTGCTCCACCCAATAATTAGACCATCTTGATTATCTAAAATATTTTGTATAATTATGAATTGAATTTAGATTTTAGATTCACCTTAATTGTCTTTGCACAAAGTACAAGTACTGTGGCAATGAAATGCAGTTTGGCGTCTAACCTAAAAGTGCAAAATAATGCAAGCATCCTAGAAGCAGCTGTAAAATATATAGATGTGTGATAGAAAAACTTACGGTAGTATACATGATGTGATATAAATAATGAGTGTATACAAAATCTATTGGGGCTTTTCCACTGCCGCCAAGAACTGAGTCGTACTGTGAACTGGCGGTTTTCCATTGTAAAGTATGTGAGCCGTACGCGAGCCGTACCCGAGCCGTACTCACACTGACTTCACCCTGCTTACTATCAGGACAGAAAGTGTGAGCAAACTGAGCTGGTTGCTTCACCACCTTCCGCTTGGTGAAAATGCACAGAGATACCGTTGCTTTGTGCGTGGATTATCTGAAGGAAAAGGCGTAAATTCTATGGCTGTGTCTGAATTCAGGGGCTCCTAACATCCTATTTAAAAAAGTACTATAGAACAGCTGAACAAAATGTATTGGTAACACAAATTTACACAAGCGCATGCTAGCGTTTGATACTTGCATGACATGGCAGTTGTCACAGACATGCTAGCGGAAATAAGCACACAGTAAAAAAAAATAATAATAATAATTGCAGAAAGTAAATCATGATGTATGCCATGTGAACAGTATATCTCTTCAGTTGTGCGTCTCTGTCACTCTCCTTTACCAAGACGACCCGGAAAGCGAGCTGGAACCTCGCTTTAACTAGTCTCTCTTCGCGGAACAGCTTGGGTATGGGTCTGCTCCTGTATGTCAGTGGAAATGCGGCACTGATTGCAGTTTCTGTGCTGTGTGTTAATGTGTTGATATATATGCAGTGTATTTAACTATGAAGGAAGATTACACAGTCCATGGTCTTGCCTGGGATTTAAGATACATATTTGCTTATTTACTTAGTATACTGCATTGGAAGCACAGACATGCAGTGTGTGGAATATGTCAGAATCACGGCTTCATTGTGTTTTTCATGGACAGAAGAAGGAAGCGACAAACACCGGCCACCTTACGTGCGCTTTAAACCTTCAGCTAACGGTCCAGCAGCTCTTCGGAGATGTCGGTGAAGAGATCTCAGTCCTTCGGCAGCTCGTCTCCCTACACCCTTATAACCCCTGGTACTGGCAGAGGCTGGCGAGGTGCTACTGGGCCCTCAGTCCGTCCCCCAGGGGTAATGGGTCCCGAGCTGATGGACACCACGGGGCAGAGATGCCCATAGGGGGGCAGTCGACCGGACAAGGGGCGGACGTCCAGTTAAAGGCTTGCATGTGTTTCGTCCGAACCAGGTGACTGAAACAGATCATCTGTAATCTCTTTATTCTCATTATGTACCTGATCTCTTCATGGTCAGCCATCTTAATATACCTTCCTGCATATCAGTCTCATATTCCATCCCTTTATGGTGCTGTACTTGCTGTTAGTACTATGTATATGAACCCACTCCCTGTCAGTGCTGTTTGTATGATACACCGTGATTCTGGGACAGTGTTTTTTCCATGCCACTGCCTGTTGTGCGTGGATTGTATGACAGTAAAGCACACTTAACTCGGTTGATTTGACCTTCCCCTTGCATGTGTAACTGACCGATTATGTATCTTTTTCTACCTCCGTAGACTTCTGATCCATTTGTTGAGGATCCAACAATCCTCGTTTGTGCTCCAGTGCAATGAAAGGGCCCTGGAGGAGGTGGAGGAGGCGCTGCGATGCTTGGGGCCCGATGCCAAGACCCTCCAGCTGATATCAGAGGTGCGAAGTCAGTTCGGGCCTTTCAATACCAACGTGTGTTTGCAGATATGGGTGGGAAGGCGCCTTGTGCCAACTTCAAGTAGTCGCCAACCAATCATGTGCTGAATCGATGGAACAGGAATGAAGTCGTCGTTCTAATGATTTCTTTGGAGATGCAATCAACTGTTCTTAAATAGGAATTTTAATGGAGCCCACTGCTAAATGTTTTTATTTTAAGAAACATCTCCAGCATCTCATTCCTGCCACCACAGCCCATTTCCCGTGACCTAGGGAGGCTCTGATGTTGACCTACCCGCTTTCCTGCTCCTTTGCCACCAGGTGATGGCCGAAGACCTTGTGCCGGAGAAGATGAAGGAGGACAACCAGGATGGCGAGAGCCTGGATGCTCTGTGTAACGTGGACTTTGACGAGCGGTGGTATGACAAGCTTAAAAGGCGACTCAGCTGAACAGAGCTGTATGGATGCGTGGTATCAGGACACGGGGAGGCACTGTTCTCCTCGCCCAGCAGCCAGACTGTGGTTCCAGGTGTCTCGCAGTCAATGGAGCATGGATGGACTGATATTTCTGAGGAATGCATGACTTTTACCTAGTGATGGCCAGATGAAGCTTTGTGAACCATTTGCTGTATGTTTTCATCCCACTAGATGGTGCTCTTGCTTTGCATTGGGGCATGAATTGATTCCTTTTTTTGAATAGAGCACCATCTAGTGGGGCCACAAAATACAGCAAATGATTCATGAAGCTTCAATGGGTCATCACTACTTTTATCTTAAGCTTTTGAATCCAGTTATTGATGAAATCTGTATTTTTGTATTAAATGTACTGTATACTGGAACATTCCACACAAGCGGGGCTGTAACGACACGGACTCAGCCTGAAGGCGAGGAAGGGCTTGCTGTTCTGCTCTAGTCCTTAACATGCTCCAGGTCTCTGAATGGATTATAGTTTTAAGTGATTTTTAATGTAAATTTACCATGCACTCAAATTGCTTAGTAGCATGTATTACATGAACAATGCATTTTAAAATACAAAGAGGACTTCCAGTTTGCTTAAAAGAACATTTTTAATGTTAGTAGAAAAGAGAGGGGATGTCAAACACTGGAGATCCCTTCCATCTGCTTTCTGCTCAGCAATGTGCAAAAATATTTAGTATTAAAGTAACATCACCACTTCCTTCAAAATGGATTTTTTTCACAGCTGATAAAATATTTTCTCAAATATGCTAATTTTTGCGGTATTCAATATCAGTGGCATTACATTTTCATGTTTACCTACAAAGAATCTGTTCAGTAAATACTTTTCATTGATTCATCCATAGCCACTGTAGTAGGTGAGTCTGGCAGATAAGCAGGTTGTTCCCATTAAGACCCCAAATTCCTAGCGAGACCCAGCTAAACCTCAGGCTCACACACACACACACTCGGCTGCTTAAATGCCGAATGCTGTGTAAATACAGGCTTTCCTGAATACAGCGTCATTAGCAGTTAGCTGCATACTGACCCGTACTGTGTGGCTGACCGGCCGTGCATGAATAAACCGTTTCTGTTGAAATGGTGCCAGTTTTCACCAGTTACTGAGGAGCGTTCTCATTGTGAGGGATGATAAAATCCCAGAGCCAGCCTGTTAGGCCTGGTTACGGGCAGGACCAGGCCGTGATGGATGCTTTGCCAGCTCAGGTCCCTCGTGGCGTAGTTGAGCGGTCGGTGGATGATGGGCCACCACGATATGGGGACAGGTGGTGGCACTAAAGGTGCCCAGAAGCTTGGCTGGGCCCTCGGCGTGAGCATGGCCTGGATTGGGGGCAGAGGCCTGTGGGTCGGGTCCGGTTGCCCGGGAATGCCGGGAATGGGCTCAGAGGAGGCATAGAGCTGGCGGAACTCCAGGTCAAAGGGCTCAACACTGCTGCCCTTGACAAGGACATTGACGCCCCTGTGGATCTTCCAGGACAGCCAGGTGAAGCTGTGGGACAGGACAGGGAGGAGGTGTGGTCAGGTGCACAGGTAAAGGGCAGCTGGGAAATGACATGGGCCATTTTTGGACTTATGGTTTCTGTTCAGCTCCACACGGGCTGGGGGTGGCGTGCCTGTGATTATCACTGGTACAAATCCCGTGGATATGAGAGCGATTTCACCATTAGGCCTAAGAGCCTCTATACTCCAGTTGCTCCAGACTAATCTGATCCCGCTTTCTCAAAAACGCATGTTGCTTTGCCGGAAGGCTTCTGCAATGTAATGAAACGTAAACGTTATTAAAGTTCCACCTCACCTGAAGGACCCTGCGAGAACCTGGGTGCGGTCGATGATGACAAACTTCTCCTTGACCAGGCCGCTGAACTTCCTGCCAGACTTGGCACAGTACGTGCCCCCCCGCACGCTGCGGATCGACAGCCGCTGCAGGGAAATAACTGGCTGCCTCACCGAGACTCATAAGAACATGTTTCATTGTGAAATAATGTCACACCTTTTGTGTGTTAATCCTTATTAATAAGCTTTAATACTTCTATAGGGCTTTCCCCATTATAATTGCCTTAAATTGTTTACCACCAAAAATCATTAACAATAAATTCCAACTGTAGAGAAAGGTAAAACAAGACAATAGGTGGAAAAGCAGGAAAAAATCCTTTGGTTTTACCTTTGCGTCCTTTCAAATCATTTTCTTTTAAGTAATTAGTGTGATGTGTACTTTCACATACGTGCGAGTGTCAGACTCGCACTGCGGGTTTTGCTGTACTCACTTTCAGGTGGGAGGCAGAGATCTGCAGCTTCTGGCACATCTCCACGAAGAGATGGATGTTCTCGCGATCCAGCAGGAGGTAGGTGAACACGCCGCGCTTTCCCGTGGCCTCCAAGATGTCGCAGAATATCTCCACGTCGCTGAAAGCGTCGACCACGACTGCCAACACCTGCACCCACACGGGTATCAGTGTTCCTGTCCCTCTCCCCAGGTCCCCGCGCCCCCTGTCTCAATGCCGCGAGGTGAAAGCATTCAGCCAGTCATTGGTAAACACGTACAGGTAAAAACGGGTACATAAAACAAGTTGTACGGCTGTAAGCTCATACCTTAAACTCAGAAGCTTTTGGATAGTTACATCAGTCATTGACACTATCTCACCCGGGTTTTAGAGAGAGGAAGGGACTTACAGTGGTAGCCTTGTTGATGGACTCACGCAGCAAGTCTCGTACGCTGCTCGTTCTATTGGACCCAAGAAACACCTCCACTGTGGGCTGGTCCCGCAGCTGGAAGCTCTCCTGAGTGACGGGAAAGCGGCGATCAAAGTCGGTTGGCTTGGTATCCGCGACGTCAGGGCAGTACATCTCAGAAGACCTCGAGGAAGCGTCTGTCCACTCCGGGTTCCACCCCTCATCCTCTCTGGGACCGTTGGCGTTCTTTAGGATGTAGTCCTTCTCCTCCCGGGACAGAAAGTCCACTTCCCGCTCGTGCGCCAGGACCTCGCGATAGGCTTCCAGGCTGCGGCCCAGTAGGGCATCAGTGGCCAGGCGGGCGCTCTCGTTGTGGCTCAGGTCTATCTCTGACACGAGGAAGGATCTATAACGCATCTCCTGCACCCGTCGCCTCACCTTGCCCACCCGGTGGCACCTCGAGAAGCGGCCGCTCTGCGGCTCCATGTCGGGGAGGCACGAGGGAATCGGCTGGTGCTCTGAGACGCTGTCAGGCAAGGTGTGGGAAAGCACGGCTCAGCTGCCAGCTGAACCACCCATCTCAGGGCGGGGCCACACGCTACAGCAGAAGATTGATAGGTATGATCACATGGCTGTCACATCAAATTAGCGGCTACATGAGAAGACTTTAATAGCTTTTTTTGTTTTTCCTGTATGATACCTATGAAGGGTGGTGCATTAACTGAACCTCGTTTAATTGTAACCACATGTAATCACTGTTATGTAAAGCGCTGTTAGGTAACAAGATTTGTGAAAACAATTAAGACCTGCGAACGCTGAACGATTCAAGACTGAGGCAAAGTGTTTATTTGATTACCAGACAGAAAATTGCTATCATACAAATACACATATAAAAATAGCGCATACGACTTTTTCTGTACAATTCAACAAAAGATACAGGTCTGTTCATTGATATCACAGAGAAGTGTTAATGCAAGTTCAGCTTCGGGCTGCTTTTTGGGTCTGGGTAAATGTCTTTGAAGACGGGTGGGTCATTAAAGGAATGGTTACTCAATGAATTACTGAGGGTCAAAAATCTATAAGTACACATGAGTGTGATCACATGATAATACCAGGACCTGTGGATAAGCCATCTCACATGGCTGGTGCTTTAAAATGACTGGTGGTCTGTGAGCTCTGGGCCGCCATAGCAGGGATTGGTCTCCGGGTGGTCTGTGAGCTCTGGGCCGCCATAGCAGGGATAGGTCTCCGGGTGGTCTGTGAGCTCTGGGCCGCCATAGCAGGGATTGGTCTCCGGGTGGTCTGTGAACTCTGTGCCGCCATAGTAGGGATAGGTCTCCGGGTGGTCTGTGAGCTCTGGGCCGCCATAGCAGGGATAGGTCTCCGGGTGGTCTGTGAGCTCTGTGCCGCCATAGTAGGGATAGGTCTCCGGGT